TCGCGTGTTTCCCTTAAATTCATGACACTCAATGCTCGTGTTTGCTCTCTTTTAGGTTTTTTTTCTTTAATACGCTCACACTCTCCAGCTTTTTACCACTCTAACTCACTCTTTTGGTTCTTTTGCAAACTAGACAAGAACTAACCAATTACAAGTGACTCAACAATTTCACTTTCTAATAATCGAATTTTAGATAAATTTGAAACAAAGAATTGACAAACCACTTCAAATAATAATTTTTAGTTTTGGGACACTGTGAACGATATTAGAACTAACTTGAATTGAATTTAAACAAGATAATAAAAATGAGACACAATGGATAGAAACAAATCAGATTTTTTTTTTTTTTGAATTAGAACCGACTAATTTGAACTAAAACGAAGTTAACTACAAAGACACAAAATAGAACAAAACATAATGAAAAAGAACCTGATTTATATTGAGAAACTTAAGTTAACTACAAATTAGACTCCTCCCTCCCCTATTTTTTTTCCTTTTTTTTATATAAGACTTAATTTATCGAGCAAAGGAACACGAAACTCAAACAATAAAAGCTATGATGGAATAACAAGAAAGAACCAACAAAGAAAAAAAGACAGATATGAAATAAAAGATGCAAGGACTATGAATAACCAACCCGACTTTGCATAATCTAGCTTTAATACCAACCGATGTGCACCCCATGTATAAAGACGAGAGACTCGGACACCTTTGTCACTAAATAACCCTTAGAACATGCCCAATCGAGGTTATAATAAGTGAAACTCAACTCGTTATCTAGAAAGAGGTAAGAACCGAAGCTATGATGTAATGGATTGAAGAACACAAAATTCTATAATAAGTTCGAGACGCCACATGGGTTGCAATCCTTGATAAATCGATTTAGTTCTCAAAAAAACAAAACAAGAAAATCCTCTCAAATTTATTAACTCTCAAAATTATTATGTTCTTTTAAAACAAAACCAAACCAACCTTTAAATAGGCTAAACATACCACTCTAACCTTAAAAGGACTTTACACATCTTTTCCACCTAAGGAGAACATAAACAAACCCAATGGACTTAAAAGAATGCAAAAATAATACGACTTAAAATATTTAGCCCAAATCGACTTAGTTAATTAGTTTTAATTATAATTAAGTTAGGTTTAAAATATTAAGCCTAAATCTGATTTAATTAATTAGTTCTAATTATTATTATGCTAGATATAACAAAACATGCCTAATATGATTTAAAGAGTCCAATCTTGGAGTTGGATTAGATTGACAAGTCTTAGAGCTTCCTCATCTCTTAAGATGACGGTATAATACTCTCTTGGCCTCTTGAAAGTGCATTCTATTAAACACTCTTGAATCATCCTATAGAGAGCTTCTTTAAGCTTCTTAACCCTATCTCATATTATTGGATCATCTTTAATATGTAATGGATCAAATCTTAGACTTGTAAACTCATCATTTCGGACCTCCTCGGAGACGCCACCTTGGTGGTCCATTTGGCTCATTGGTTTCCATCGATATAACCTTGAATTTCTTTATTCTCATCAACTTCTAAACTAGTTATCTCTCAATCTAAATAACATGGCTAGTAACTTCTCACTTATATGATGAAGTTATCGGTAGTCTGTTCAAATTCATGACTCAAAGTCATTAGTGGTGTCTCACTTGTGTAACTAAACTCACTTCTCATGCTAATAAAAGGCTATCCATCCTTAGAAACTCACCTACTTATTGATAATGGGTCTTGTTTACTCAAGACTAGCTAAAATTCTAACTTCTCCCATCGTTCTCCTTTAAGTAAGGGGTATTGGCTTTAGATCGAACCGAACCCCCATACTACTCTATTTTATATTCAAACATCTAACATTCTCTATTTTTATATTTTAAAAAATAAACTCATTTAAATAAGCATAAAAGCATAACACAATAAAAAAAACTAGTTTTTTATTTTTACATGCAAACAATGCAGCCTACCTTAGGTAGGATGAGATGGTGGTGATGTGATATCTTTCTCATAATAACCGACCACTTATCCGGATATTTATGTAGAATAGTGCATTTAAGGTTTCCTAGCTCTCCTTGATTAGCTAGGTGGTGACTCATTTTCTACTTATGATCGGGCCAACGTTGACAATCGTCATAGTTTTAATGATAATTTAGTTTGGGGTTATTGTGATATAAATAGTTTGCATGATGACATTTATATTATTAATGATGGGATGGTTAGGAGTAATGATGAAGGAATGGTTAAGGTACATAGGGGTGTTATCAATAAATCTATAAAGGCTAATAATTATAATGATTTTTTAATTTAAAAATTCAAAAGAAGATTAGGTTTTATTAAGAGAATAAAAGGAGAGAGAATATGTGTGTGTGTGTGTGTGTGTGTGTGTGTGTGAGAGAGAGAGAGAGAGAGAGAGAGAGACGAGACATGGATATAGGGGCAACCAATAAAAAAGAAAACATGAGAGGGAACACTAAATAGAAAATTCATATTATAGAATAAGAAAGTCATTTTAGTTGGGGTTAAATAAGGACTAGCAAAACTAGGACCACCTTAGGCTAAGAGATGCTTAAAATAAGCTCTTAAATGATTTTGATAGTCTTTGTGATAGTAATGGAAATGAAAGTGATAGCATATATTATGATTATAGACCATCCGATAAGGATGAATGTGAACTTTTTGACGAGGATGAAGATGATTAGATTATAAACTTCATATTAATGTAAATGAAACAATAGAGGTTCAAATTAGAAAAGATTTTGAAAGTGAGAAATAATGACACCTTAGTGAAGATGATCCTAATAAGCATGAGACATGTGAGAGTGATGTTAACAATGATGTAATGATGGGGTAGGAAATATTAAAGATAGAATGATCAAAATGAGAATTATAGATCCTATAAAGGAGATGACAACCAAGAGATTAACTTATGTGGAATATGGAAAGATACAATTTGAAGAGTGTCATGTTTTTTCAAATGTGTATATATTTAGGAATGTTCTAAAATAGTATAAAGTAAAAAAGGTATGAATTGAAGAGTAAAAAAAAGTATGAAACTAGTGCTAAATGTAAAGGTTCATATGGTACTTAGAGAACTTATGTATCTCTATTAACCGATAACAAAACCTTTATGATCGGACTATTAAGGGCAAATATAAATGCATAAACCAACAAACAAGAAGATTGTTGACTCAACTAAATTTTTTTTTATTAAAATGTTGATCCATATATTTCTCATGATGCTCTAGAGATATTTTTAGATAAAAACCTATGGAATTAAACCCGGGCCAATGCAATTATAGAGGGTAAAAAATAAATTAAGACAAACTATTAAGGGTAGATAAGCCGCCTTACAAATAGTTACGTAATATATGTTGATTTATTGATAGAAACTAACTCTGGTTCTCTTATGTTCTTGGATTATGATACCATGTCCAATCTAGAAGTTATTTCACTTAAAAAGTTTTATAGGCTCCATATTTGTTTGAGAACAATGAAAGAAGGTTTCTTGGATAGTTATATAATCTTTATTGGATCAAATGGTTTTTTGGAAAGGTTCTTTTATAAAGGTGATCTATTTGCATATGTCTATTTAAATGACAATAATTGATTGTTCCTATTTGTATACATTATGGTTCGAGTTCAAAATAATGACAATTAAAAACGATTTCTATTGGAATTATAGAAACATATCAAGATAGGAATTCAAAACAAGCATCTTTGTACTATGTCCGATAGATAAAAGGTAAAATTTAAAGTTTTGTTTTTTTAAAAAGATTTTAGATATATATTACACTTTGATTTATATTTTAAACTTGTTATTTATTTATTTATTTTGTTAAAGTTTGTTTAATAGTGTAATAAATATATTTTCAAAAGTAAATCATGGACATTTTACAAGATATTTGTATGCCAATTTGTTTTTTTTTTAAAGGATTTTGAGGACTTAAGATGAAGTTTGACTTTTCGGATGCTCGCTAAGTCTTATATAACCTTTAACTTTAAAGAACATATGATTAAGATCAAGTGGTGGACCTTGAGGCTCGTTAAATGGCCTAAAAATATATCAATCGAAAGACGATCAAAGCACATCTTTGATCAAGTTATTAAGAATGACCATGTTACAAATTACATAGAAAATCCTTTTAATCATTAGGTTGAAAATTTTAGAAGCTTGCCAACTCTAACTTTTTTGGAGAAAATTAAAGTCAAGATCATATCAAAGTTTCATAAATGATATGTGAAAGGAACAATCTAAGATACGAAGACCTCTATATGCTATGAAGGCTTTTGATAAGGCATCCGACTTGGCAAGAAATTTAAAGATGAAACCAAAAGGGTGTAGATAAATATCAAATTTATTAGGGGATGAGGATGTTTTATGTTAATTTAAAAAATTAAAGTGTTTATGTGGGATATGGATAATGAGTGACATCTCTTGTAAAGAATGTGCTTGCTTGTTTGACTCATATGATATGGAAAATAAAATATTATTGCAAGTGGTACTATATAATTAATATTTTTTCATAAAGTCTTATGAAGATGTGGTTTACCTCTACCTAAAGCTGATTTAGACCTAAAGAATGATAGTTGAAACTGTTGCAGTCAAATCTTAATAGGGGTGTCAAAAGGCCAAGGAAAAATAGAAGAAGAGAATAAGAAGAATAAGCTCCTAGTACTTTGAGGAAAAGATCTTCTACTATTAAGTGTAACTTATGCAAGTAGTTTATGCATCACTAAATAACATGTCAAAAGAATACTATTAAACAATTATAATAAGTAAGTTGAATCAAAACTTGATTTATTTTTTAATTCATTTTTTTCCTTGACTAAAATATGAGATCTATTGTTGTTGTTATTCTTTTTCTTGTATAGATTAGAAATAAATATAGTGGTGGTGGAAAAGGCAAGGATAGAGATTAGGTTGCCTCTAGATTAGATGGTGTAGTTAGACTTGATGTTGCTAATGGTGTTATTGGTACCAAAAAAAAAAAATTGATAATGATCAAATTCAAGGTGTTAGTGGAGTTATTAGGAGATTTAGTGGTAAAGATGATGACCGATGTAGGTGAAGTTGGTAAAGATGATTGCAAAATGAGTGGTAAAAAAGGTGGTGCGAGTGCCAAAATTAGTAGAACTTGTGGAGTGGATGGTGGCATAGGTGGTGAAAGCAATGGTAGAAAGGGCAATGGCAAAAGAGACAATAATAAAAATGGTTGATGGGCTTAGTGGTAAAGGTGGTAGAAGTGGTGGTAGGAAAGGCAATGATAAGAGAAGTGGTGGTAGAGATAGTTGAATAGGTAGTGGCAAAGCTAGTGGAACTAGTAAAGGTGAAAGTGGCGAGCTTATGGAACTAGTTGACATGAAAGTGGCAGAGATAATGGTAAAACTAATGGAAATAGTGGTGGTGGACTTGGAGTAGGTGAAGCTATTAAAGATATTAGTCATAAAGTATTAAGACATCTTGATTGATGTTACATGGTTATATGTTTATTATTTATATATGCTAGATTTTTTTATAAAATTAATTAAGTAATAAATTCATGTTATTTTTCTTGATTTTAACATCGATTCAAAATACACAATAAATAGATTGGATTGAGAATGAGTCTTGCCTAATATAAGGTTTTGGGGGATATAAGGATCAACACATGTATTCTAGCAAGATTAGTGTTCAAGTCTTATTTTTGGAATGCATTAGAAAGATAAAATTAGTAGGCTCAAACCAAGGCCTATTAAAAGAAGATCTAATTATTACTTTCTTTATTTTTATTAGTAAGTTGACGCAGTTTAGCCTAAAAAACATAATTCATGAAATTTAAATTTGACCGTCCAAACTTGAATGATGTGGCATGATCATAATGGTCGAAGCCATCTTCTTTTTACTATAAATACCAACCTCACAACAATTGTGAGAAGATTCAACTTTCTAATCCTTAGTAAAAACCCTCTAAACTCTCTCTCTCTCTCTCTCTCTCTCTCTCTCTCTCTATCACACACACATACACTATCTATCTATCTATCTTTGTCACACACACACACATACACAACTCTCTCACTCATATACTAGACAATATCTAAAACTCTATCTATTTGGACTTCAACCACCCATTTGGCAACCCTCGACTTATGCTTTGCTAGCACTCGCCTATTTTCCCTTATACATCTCGTATCGCTTACAATGTTTCTACTTGATTGGTAGGTTATTACTTTAATAAGTCACTAAAGGATTGAAGAGTTGTATATTCTCCAAAAAGTGATTTATTCATCGATATGTTTATTTATTTATGCACAAGTTAGAGTGAAAATAAGGAACGTAATAGCTATACATTGACTAAAAATATAAAGGAGGGAAATGACTTAATCACATCCTTTTACTTCGGTCGCATTATTGGGATTGGTCTATATTCTTTCTTTATGGCTACATTATTGGGATTGATCTTGATTCTAGCTATTATGCCCCTATAAGATAGAGCATCGATCAAGGATACCTATCTTGGATCGATGATTATGGAATAGTCTATGAGGAAGTGTTTTTGTTAAGCAATCAGCCAGGTGATTATTGGTGTGGACATGAGAGACTCACGATTGATGATTAGCAACTTAGTCAAGAACAAAGAAAAAATCATTGGTGACATGTTTTATGTGACAATGGAAGATAGGATTGGCACTAACATAAATGGCCCTAACAATGTCATTGTAAATAATATGAGTGCTAGGAATTTGAATATGAAGTTTAGATAATAGGTGTTCAAACTAGTTTAATTTAATAGCAAAGTAGCAATTGATTGAAATTTTGCATCGGTAAAGGAATGAGCAATGATGCATTATTTCTTAGAACTTTAGCCGATTAGAATGGCATCGAAAAGATAACATAGGTTGTAGTTGAACCTCACCCAATCAGCATTGCCCAATTCATTAAGATAAAGAGAAGACTTTTGATATATAAATAGTCTATAATCAAAGTTACCCTTAAGATAGCAAAGTATATGTTTAACCACATTTTAGTGAATTATGGTACGACGACGTATAAATTAAGGCAATGTATTAACTATAAAGGAAAAAATCTAGTCGTGTGAGTGACATATATTAAAGTGATCCTAGTGCCTAACGATATTGAGTAACATTCATGGGAGCTCTACAATCATTGAGTTTTAAGGTGTCAATGGAGATCGTGTTCGATCTTGCTATAACTCTTATGGAGTAAATCATGAAGGTATTTTTATTAAGAACAAATAGACCATGGGTAATGGTACATGCATTTTAACTCTAAAGAAATATGAGAGAGTACTAACATTTTTTTATAGAGAATCTATGTGCAAGCATTCGGATGAAATCATGAACCGATGATGTCAAAAATCCAATGATAATGATGTTGTTGACATATATAAAAAGATGGTGTGATCGAGTTGATGTTAAAAAGAGAGAAGCATCATAAACCGAGATGCTGATTTCGAGTTGAAGAAGAACGTGTGAAGTTCATTACACCGAGCACTTAGAGCTTGATAAAGAACATAGATAGCTTTTCTTAGTTTGGACATATGACTAAGAAATTAAGGATCGAGTGAAGCCTAAAGGTTATTCCATATAGACATCATATATTATAGTGTCCTATAAAAAAAGATTATTGTTATATAGTTGGCGTAAAGGCCAACCATTAATACTCACAAGAGTGAGAATTAAGCAAACAATGACAAGTTTTATAACATGACTAAATATCTCATCAAAGTTAATATCCGGCCTCCGATGAAACCATTTACAACAAGACAAGCTTTGTATCTAGCCATAGTAACATTGGGATTGTGCTTGATATGAAAGATCTACTCATAACCCACTATGTTTTGAGATGGATGGAAGAGTATTAAGGACCAAGTGGTGTTTTGAGCAAGGGCATCATATTCTACACTTATGGCTTGACATCATTCGGGGTATTTTTAGGCTTACGTAATTATAGTTAGTTCAATGTGAGGAAGAGTATAGGTAGTGGCATGGAGGTCAAATATGGTTTTTGGTTTAAAAATATTGTTTTTAGAGAAGGTTTGAATTTTTCTTAGTAGACATAAGATTAGGTTAAAAGCATTTACTTGAAAGGAAGAGGGTATATGAGCAAGGCTTGGTCCGTAAGTAGAATTTTGAAAGCATGAAGGCATGATGGAGAATGTTTAAAGTCTGTTTCAATTATATAATGATGTTTCCATTATACAATGCCAACATGTTCAAGTGTGTGAGAGGGTGATTTTAAGTGTTCGATACCACTCGGTGGTTAAGGTGTGGCCGAGGGATTATGCTTCACTACTACCATAAAAAAAAATTATGTTAAAAGAGTTTTCAACAAGAGATTTAGATTAAGCAAAAAGTTGTGAGATTTTAGATTTATATTTTAGTGGATATCATCATATGTACTTAGTAAAATAGTCTACAAAGATAATGTAGTAACGAAAGTTATTGAAAGAAGGGAGATAAATATAATCCTATACATTAATAAATAATATTTATAAAGGTTTATTGTAAGTAAAGGTTGAGAAACTAAATGGTAGTTTGTGGTTTTTATTACATGGACATGCATCACAATGAGTAAACTAAAAGCCTATGAAAAGATTGTAAGAGGATGTAAGAGGATATAGTTTTGTGTTGAACTTGATTTAAGGGATAACCAAGGTAGTGCCAAGTTAATATTGAGGAGGTAGGGTTTGAAGATGTAGTGTTTGTATAGGCCTTTGGTGCGGTGTTGCCAAATAGTTTCGAGGTTGGCCAAGCATAGAGATTTTCTTCATTTCGACCTCGAACTAAGGATGCCTTCGTGTTTAGATCCTTCATTAGCAAGCAAGCAAAAAAAAATTCAATCAAAGTATTTTTACGAGTGCAAACTTAACAAACAAACACTAAATTTTATGTAATATGAAGAGCACATGATACATTATTAAGACGAAAGGAATTAATGGGTGTAGTGAGTGTAATAAATCTTATGTGAGAGATAGAAATTGTTTTACCATTCCTAATAATAATGTCTTTCATAACACTATATTTATAATGGAGCTAAAAATCGGATGTCATATGCTCGGGATGTTCCAATGTCAAAAATCAAATTATTTTAGGATATGGATTGATCCGTCATCATGTGATTTGTCTAATGATAAAGCTTAGTGCTAAAGTTAGGGAGAAAGTAGCAAAAATGAGCAATATGACCTATCTTGCTCGTAAAGTTGACATACAACTTAGGAAGCTCCAATAGAAGAGGGAGAATGTCATTGATTCTAATTAAATTAGTGGTGATTATCGGGTTGATATGGCCCATTATAGGTTAAAGAAAAGCCACGACCATCACCATAATGAGACTATAAGTTGTTATAGGAACCGGGTTACTAAGTTTAAGGTGTGGAGTTAGTTTGTATCCACATACCTTCTAGTTAACACCTTTTCTCGTTATACTATGCGATGATAAGAGTGCTTCTTCTTCTTTTTTTCATCACGTTTAAGAAATGTCTCATGATCTAGAAATTTGTCATAGAGTTCTTCAAAAGAGATTAGTGTGTTGCGGGCTCGAATGGTTGAGGAAAGAGGTGTATAAGAAGAGTTAAGTCCATTAAGTACATGAATAATAGTGACAACATCATCCACTAGATGACCAATCAGCTTGAGATCATCAATTGTAGTTTTTTATTTCCTATATATATTCAATAATAGTTTTACATTCTATACTAATATTTGTAAGAGAGTCTAAAAGATCGAGCTTATGAGATTTAGATTGATTAGCATAGGTGGCTTTGAGCTTGCCCATGCTTGAACCAAGGTCTTAAAGTCGGGTACTATTGATTATGCAAGCATCCATGCACGAGACTAGAATGAAATAAAGTAGTAATTTATCTTGTTGGAGCAAAAAAAAGTGGTCTAGATTAGGATTCATTTGTTCAGTCGTGGAGTCTTCTATATATGGTGAAAAACTAGATGTGTATCGCCTAGAAATCTCATGAATCCATAGCGGAAAAAAGGTTCTCAAACTAAGATTTTTAGGCAAGCATAGTTCCTAACTTTGGAGAGTTTGATGGTGATTTGTGTTCGGTTGATCGCCATAAAAAAAGTGATGGGATTGGCTATTTATGTTCCTAATAAAGTGACTTGGGGAGGAGAAGAAGCGGAGGAGGTGGTTTCATTGTTAAATACAATTGGATTGGCCATTGTCGCTACCCAACTTTCAAAGGACTCTCGAAAAAATTATGATTTAATTGAAAATTTTTATTTATTTAAGGATGTGAGTTATTATTGATTTCAAAGTCACCACTTAGTATCAAAGATAACTAAAAACCTAAAATAGACACTAACTAAGAGATTCTAGGGTAAGGAGTTGGTGATGTCTTTTGGAAGATATCAATCACTCAAAAGCATTTTTTCCTAAAAAAGGTACCATGTCTAGTTTAGACTAAA